TTATTTTGTATTTGAATTTTCATATTTTTTATAAATCCAAATAACTTGAAATTTGGAACGTCTACTCTTAAAAAATAGTAGAATTTAATAAAAAATATTTTAAAAATATAAATTGATCAAAATACCGTCAAAACGTTTTGGGGGAATTTTAGTCAATATATATTTTGTAAAATATTTTTTTTATATTTTTATTAGGTGTGCCTTGATGAGTAGAATGTACATTTAAATTTTCAAGTGATTGGATTTGTAGAAAAAAAATAAAAATTCAAATACGAAATAAGGTTGTGACTGTCAGATCGGCCCAGATTCAATCTGGGGCTCAATCCAATGGTCACAACTTTATTTTGTATTTGAATTTTCATTTTTTTTTTATATGAATGCAAATCACTTGAACTTTTAAGCGTCTATTTTCCAAAAATAGGATAATCTAATAAATATAAAAACTAATAATTTGTAAAATATAAATAGATCAAAATACCCATAAACGTTTTAGAGGTATTTTAGTTAATTTATATTTTACAAATTATTTTTTTTATATTTTTATTAGATGCACCTTAATGAGAAGAATAAATGTTTAAAATTTCAAGTGATTTTGATTTGTAGAAAATAAATAAAAATTCAAATACAAAATGAGGTTGTAACTGTCAGATTTGTCTAGATTGAATCTAAACCATTGGTTGATACTGTAGCTGGGTTTAGTATTTTTGTTTTCAAAGAGCTCCATGGATATAGACAAGCAAAGCTAGAAATTTGTGCGGAAAAATTATCAAATTGGCAGTTCTTGTGAATGGAGAAGTAGTTGAATTATCACCCCCACCTTTTCAACAATTTCTTCTTCTTCTTTTTAATTTTTCTCTTTTATTTAACCCGTATGACGTTACTGACTACCCTTCTCTAATTTTCAGGAAATCAACTCCTCGGTGAGGTTAAATTGGAGCTTCCTTCACATGTATATCATGAGATAGTATTTATGTGGGTAAATTTTTTATTTTTTATTTTTTTTGCAATAATTAATTTAGGTTTTTAGATATCTTTCAATGGGAAAGATAGAATTATTGAACAAATTTATGATATCTAGAATTGGAAATTTTATCTATTTATAATTATTTGACTAAAAATATGTGATTTGTAGCAAATTACTTTGAATGAAATAAATATGGCTTTTCAAAAAAATCATTTTGTATGTACAATTGTCAATAAGTTTATCTCACATGATTTTATGAGGAACATAGTTGAGCAACAAATAATTCATTATAGTGATTAGTTTTATTGAAACAATGAATTATCAGTAATAACGAATACATCCAAACAAGCCCTCATCATATTAACGTTTTATTATTGTGACTTGATTCTCTTGGTTAATCTTAGAAAAAAGAATAATGGCCATAAATTTTTGGAATTTCAAAATTATAGTGCTTTCACAGTTATTATTCTAGTTACCGTATTCATCCCATTTTATTATTTTAGAAAAACAAAATAGGGTTGTCTACAAAGAGACCATTTTACTTTTTGTATATGGATATCACAATCATTCTTATTTGTTCAATGTCAATTTGGATGGCTCGAGGTGAGTCACAAGGTTCTAGCTATTTTTTTATGAGCTTTGTGTTTATTCAATGTTACTCTTATAACCACCCATTTGAAATTTAAGGACAAGAATGATTGTGACTTCCGTATACAAAAAATAAATTATCTTTATAAACGATCCCAACAAAATATTTATGAACTTAAAAAGATTTTGAAATAAATAATGTGCATGTAGTTGTAAAGCTAAAATACAACTTGCTGTACACGCTCTTAGAGAGTTTTATTAGAGACATCTCTCTCCATGAGCGTGATGTTGTGTTTCATACCTCCTTGGATATGAAGCCATTTTCTCATGAAATATTGGAAATTGGCTTGGTGAACAGAAATCCTTTTTAAATAGAGACTTCCGGCGAACCTCAATGTTAGGCCTTTTTTTAAAGAAAACTTGGAATATTTGAAACCTCAATATGGAAGGGAGGAGAGCTCGGTATGTCTTAATATGATTTGGCAGCACATCGTAGAATTTCTAATTTTTGAATGGGAAATTTATTAAAGTTCCTAATTTGTCCACAATTTAACAATTTACTCTTTCAACTATTCCAGCTCATGGGTGGTGCATTTTTATGGTATTTTAAAATTAAATTTTGATGGTATTTTAAAAGTATAAGTGGTTTATGCGTGGGAGGACGCATGGCATTGAGGCATCTCACATCGATTTTAAGAATGGACGTGGGTTGTGGTATCTCCGAAAAAAGGTGAAATCAAACTGATTGAATTGTCTTAATAAATTATTATTTTATTTTTAGAATTTATTTCTTTTTACACATTTATATTTTTCATGTTGGAAATTATATATAGCTAAAAAATAATTTCCAAAATCTATCTCAAAAATGGATGATGAAGAGGGGGGGCGCATTGCCCCGGGATTCATAAAAACCGTGTCCATTTCAAAGTTAAGTAAAAAAGGAAGATAATAAATTAAATATTTGATCTCTGGCGCATCAGAATATAGGACTAGGTATTCTGGCGCATCTCTCGTGCTCATGATGTTCACAATTGAACCATACATCAGAATCTATGGTCATGGGCATGTAGTGCTTATTTGAAACTAATATAGTAGGTGGAGGCCGTGTACAGGCCCACTGATTTAGTGAAAAAATACTTGGAAAGTTGGAGGTCGTGCACATCCTTATATAAAAACAAATAGATTTCATAGTATATATATATATATATATATATATATATATAATAGGAAATGTTGGTGTAGGCTCACTAGTTTAGAGTTATATATAAGGCGAATTTGAGCCGATTTGATGGGCATAATTTCATTTTGTATTTTAGTTTAAATTTTTTTTACAAAATTCAAATCATGTGAAATTTTAGGAATCTATTCTTCTCATCAATGTGTACTTAATAAAAATATTAAAAAATAATTTATAAAATATGAATTGATCAAAATATTTTTATAATATTTGGAGGATATTTTGGTCAATTTGTTTTTTACGAAATATTTTTTGGATATTTTTATTAGATTTTAATATTTTTAAATAACACGTATCTAAATTTCAAGTGATTTGGATTTGTATAAAAAAATTAAAATTAAAATACAAAATACAATTGTGATCATTGGATGGGTTTAGATTCAATCTCGATTGTTGGGTTTATATATAATTGTAGGCTAGTGGACTTATGTCTGCATTCCCATATATATATATATATATTAGAAAGGAAAATGGTTTGACAAGGTCGCAACCCTATTAAACTAAGTAAATCTTCACTTCATAACTCATCAAAAATTACAATTTAAGTATTGGAAAACTTTTTCATCTATCATCTTGGCTTGAACATTATGGTTATAAAACAAAAACTAGTATTTTAAGCTCTAAACATAGCGTATATTATAACAAATTATCTAGACCGTCCATTTCGCCCTAAAAATAAGGGTTCATAAATTTGTAAGATTAATACCCTTTTTTGAGTTTCCAAATTTATTGTTGGTGTCGGAAATTGAATTTAAATCCATCATGGAGATTTCTATTTCCGAAAAGTGCTTTCTAGACGAGTTTATTGTCGGTGGTTGAGCAAGCACTTTTGAATTTAGATCCACCAAGCATATGCCTTATAATAAATATGACTATGATACGGTAATATTTATAAAATGTTATGGGGCTTTAGTGGTAGTATTCCCTAGTATTATCGAGCCTCATGGTGAGGTATGTGACTCTATTCTCATAAAAAATTAAAAGCCCAAATCCTCCAATAACTCACTTTTATGAGAAAAGAACTCAGACTTAATTGATTAGCACTTACGATTTGCAGCGGTACATTCTAAGCTCAAGTCCTTAGCACTTAGACGATTTGCAACGCTACCTTCTAGACTCAATTCCTACAAAAAGTCTATGTACTCTGCTTTTTTGGTCTATATATTCTAGGCTCAATTCCTACAAAAGGTGTATGCACTCGCTTTTTGGGTCTAATCATGCTAGGCTCGATTCCTACAAAAGGTCTATGCACTCGCTCTTTGGGTCTGTGCACATTGCGTTCAAAGCATTGTTGGTCTATGCACTCGCCCTTAGGGTCTATGCACATTGTGTTCAAGGTATTGTTGGAAAAGGCCTAGCGATGTTTTGGGGCATGACATTTTGCTCTTGTTTTTGAAAAAGAGCAAAGGGCAGTATTAAAAAATCTAAAACATTATATGCTCTCATGCAATAGTTATGTATATAAATTCCCTCCCATAAAACCCTAGATGGAATATGTTAGAATGCCAAATTTCGAGGATGTGCAAGGGGATTAATGGAGAAAGAAAAGAAATCGTTCAACTTTTGGATGGTTATATCCATGTAATGAGGAACTAAAAAAGAAAAAATCTTCTTTTAAGCTTATTCATCTTATAATTCTAAAGTCGATACCAAATTTCAAATAAAGAAAAGGCTTGGAAGCATGAGTTTTGCCTGACGGGATAAATAGATAGTATGGCTTTTGCAGGAGCACACTAGTCATACTTTTTAGAAAATAGCAGAAGACATGTTTGATGCCCATCCAAACTGAGCCTTAATTTGAGAATATCAATTCATAAAGCTTGGAATGTGGAGTGCAGAGAGAGAGAGAGAGAGAGAGAGATGGGGAAGGACTCGAAGGCGAAAGATGCGGGGGGGAAAGGAAAGGGAAAGCAGGCATCGTCCGGAGGAGGGGATGAGGCCAAGGGCGCCAAAGGCAAGGCCAAGTCAGACCTTGGAACCTGCACTTATGTCAAAGGTTTGCTTCTTTTTTTCTCTCTCTGCCTGTAAATATGGATGGATCATTCAAGCTTTTAACCTGGGGATATTGTTCTGCTGTGATTCTCTGAGTACTGAGCTTAGTCTTGAATGTTCTTGTGATGTCTTTGTTCTATTGATGTTTACTAAGGAGTTATGGCCATTGTTTACCCTATCACTATTCATTTCATTATTCTTAATGTGGTTTTCTGTTTTTCCTTTTCCTTTTCTTTTTTTGTTCCGCCATGGGAGTGATTCAATGGCCAAATATAAAGGCAGAAAGAAAGCGAATTCAGTGGTTTTCTTGTACAAATTTGCTACTGTTTTTTAGTATATTGCTATCATTATTTAACAAGAAAGAAGAGTTAATTCTATAAGTTTTCCAATGTTTCGAGGATAATAAAGAGATATTATAGCTCATGATGTGATAAGGGGCCATCAAGCTCAGATAAGGAGTTGTTCTTGTCTGTTTTGAGGGGTAAAATTGTTTGAATATTGATTCCTTTGAGCCATTGTTGTTGAAATTCTTAGTGAATTGTTAGACCTCATAAATTCCTGCCTTGTGTTATCATAGTTGGTGTTCAAAGTTGAAGCAATAACCTGTGATCTTCTTAAAATCCCAGATTTCAGCTTTAAAAAATAATTAAATTGAAATCCCAGATTTCTATAGAGCTGGATGAGTCAGTGATAATGAGGACCACTAGAGATCTCTATAGGCTCACACGATCATGTAGACAAAATCTTCTGCAATAACCTGGGGACCAGGGAAAGAAAGCAAGAATATTTAAGAAAATGGGCCACTGAGCAACGGCTTTGCTTCTCGTGTCATTGAATCAATAGCCCAAATAATTAACACCTGCAAATTCCTCCATTTTCCTAACTGTGTCCATGACTAGCCCCAAAAATAGATGGACCTTAATTTCAACATAGAAACAAAAAAATGACCTAGGTTACTAAATGAGCTACTGTCAAAATTAACCTTGGATTTTGGGGGCACAGTTCAAGACTTTGACCATTCCGAAAGACAGGTTCGCTCTCCACGATGTTCCCTGGACATTCTAGGCCAGCGCCTTGTTAGATTCATAAAAGGCTTCATACCCAATTTTGGCGCTAACTAGGGCAAAAAGTTGGATTCACGCTTGCCCAACCATCATGTTAGGATTCTCTTTCATGACAATTTGTTTTCCAGATTGACTTATGAGTACCCACCAAAAAGTTGTGAGATACGGAGAGTAAAACTTATTCCTTCTTTGATCAATGTCGGGAGCTAATGCTTGAACCATGTGAAATTTTTACCTCATGCAAATGACAAGCACCACCTCTCAGTTTATTTGGGACTCTGGAATCCGATTAGTGGGATTTTACGTGCTCTCAATCTTTTTTTTTTTTTGGCTGAGAATCTGATACTTTGTATTGAGTCATTCTTTTAGCGAGGCACATATTATGTGAGAAGCAAGGGAAGATCAATGAAGCGTACAAGAAGCTGCAAGATGGTTGGCTAAGCAATGGTGACAAAGTACCTCCTGCTGAGTTTGCCAAGGTAAGCTGCTCAAACATCTTTCCACATGCCGATGTCGCAGATGATTTCTCAAGGACTTTTGAGTTGTTGTACAAGCCTCAAATGGTGTCTGGCAGAAATCTTTCAGATGATGCTATATAGTTGCCTATTAGTTTTTTTTTGCATGCTTTTGTGTTGATGATCCTCGTTACTGCGTGCTTAGTGTTGTTGCCTGCTTGCTAGTCAGAATTGATGGTCGCATGAAGAGGATATCAAAGATACGAAAAAATGGAATCCATATCTTTGTTATTTGTCAAAAAAAAAAAAAACAATGCATATACTAGTTTGGCATGATTAGAAAAGGAATATACTATTAAGATAGGATTCAGGCTTGGGCCTGACTGTTCAAGATGTTTATGGTTGCAACATTATGTTCCTTGTCTGATTCTACCTCGGAACTACCCAAAGAAAAGGGGGAACCTCACTATCACCACTATAGTTTCTATATGTTCGAATTTCCACCTTTATTTAAATTATTAAATAATGCCAGTTAAGTTTCCGAAACCTTTCATTTATACCATTTTTTGGGTTGATTTCCTCATTTCTTCTTTAAAAAACCCTCGGCTCTCAAATGTTAGGCCTTCTTTGCTGCTTGAGCCCACAGCATCTAGGGACTCTCTCTCTCTCTCTCTC